GGGGAGAAGGGGGAGGAAGGAGAGGAGGGAGGGGGTGGAAGAGGAGGGGGAGGAGGACTCCCACCTCGGGCTGCCCCCTCCGCTCCCTCCTCGGACCCTCTAGCGCCAGGGGAGGAGGGCCTCAAGCGCACGGGCAAGGGAGAGGTTCAGTGCCGCAGGAGGGGGGGGGGAGGTGGGGGGGGGGAGGGGAAGGGCCCCCTTCGGCGCACGGGGAAGACAGAGACTGCAGTACCGACCCCCTCCCCCCCCTCCGCGCGCGGGGAGGAGAGTCTCCAGTGGAGGGGGGGGAGGGCGGGGGAGGGTGAGTTCCTTCCGCGCGCGGGAAACTATAGAGGGGGCTCGCGCGCGGAAATCATAGTCCCGGCTGCTGCGCGAGGGAGGCGGGAGGGGGCCCCTCTGCCACCGCGGGAAGGGATGTGGGGGAGCGGGGAAGCCCACCCCCGCGCGCGGGAAAAAGCGAGATTCCAGTGCCGGAGGGGGAGGGAACGAGAGAATCTCGAGCAGAGGGGGGGGTCGAGTGCCGGGCGAGAGGGAGGGGACTGGAGGGAAATGACACACCTGCCTCGCTTTTGACCACCCTCGCTTCCAAGAGATACCAAACGATGCCAAATTGCAGCCTGTACTGGTCAGGCCGCCTGACGAGGAGGCGCGTGGTATGGCTTGGTTTTGCCTGGAAGCGAAAGCGGGGTAGGCAATTCACGCTCTGAGATTGGGAAGGAGAGAAACTCGAGCGCTGGAAGGGGGCCTCGACCCCCCTTTCTTGTGCCAGGGGAGGGGCCCTCCCCCCCCCCCCCCCCGGCGGTGGCAGAACAATTGCTCGCTGGGCATCGCTCCCTCTCAGACATCCGCACGCGGAGCCAGAAACGTTAGCAGGAGACACTCGCTACACCAACCAATTCCGCGGACCTTCCTCCGCCTCCTACCTTCCTCCGCCTCCTATCCCTCGCTCCCCGGTGTCCCTCGTCCCCCGCGCGGGGAAGGGAGGGGGGATGGGGAGGGAGGGATACCCGGGTCACTTCACTTCGCGCTTCGCGCCCCGCGATGCGCGACGCTCGGCTGTTTCCCGCCACCGCGCCGTCGCGCCGCCCTCTCGCAAGTGGCAGCTCCTCTGGCCCGGACCGTGACGCGCGGAACAAGAGATCGACACCGCTGCTCCCGGGACCTTTCCTGGGGCGCGTTGCGACTCTGATTCCGTGGAGGCGACCAGCCTCCCGGGAGGCCCAACGAGGTGAAAGCGAGGGAATGATATCGGCATCAGCATGGCCATTTCGTCGGAGGCGGGATGGGAAGGGGTCGGGGGCGGGAAAGAAGCGGGTCCGGTGAGGGTGAGATGACTCGGCTCTTCAGCCGGCCGGGGCAGGGAGGTGCCATGGCCTGCCGAAGCGAGCGACCACCATGGCGAGGTACGTACCTTCCATGCGCCGTAGGCGCGCCAACGGGCGCATCTAGAGGTCAGGAGCTGGATTGCACTGGAACGTACTAACTGCAAAAGGGAGCATTGCCGATGTTCTTCGCATGCAGAATACAGCGCAAGCAATCGACCGAGCAGGCTGTGGGCAAGTCCTGAACTTGTATCTTGCGGCATGGGCGAGCAAAGATATTATGACGAATGTCCGTCCAGGCGCCACACAAGTGGCTGGTGAATGGGATGGGCGCCCTCTTCCTTTTCCTCCTGCTGACCCCTCTCCTCCTGCAAAAGCAACGCTACGTTTATGATGATGACCATGACCATCACCATTATCGTCACCAACAACGACATGATCATCGTCATCAAAGTCGCCAACGTCATCTGAATATTCACCACTATCTTCATCATCAGCCGAAACACCACCAACAACATAAATCATCATCACCAACATCATCAACACCCCTACCTTAATCAACAACACCATCATCACCATCATAATTATCAAGCAACCGTTGCGGCTGCACCGCGCGGCTCTGGCTCCCCGCCCAGGAGCACAACAACGTGCTCGTTCTCCTGATCTCCAATATTCTGCAATGCGCAACCGGTAATCACCAGTTCCATCTTGAGGTACTGGCAGCAGCGTGAAACGTCCAACGTGTGGTTCAACTATGCGTCGCCCGTTTCTCTTTCTCGGCGCTTCCTTCCACGAAGTGCATCATACGTTTGGTTGTCATGCCGCCGGGTGGAGAGGCCACCTCCGCTGGATACGTAGATGTCTCGCTGGCCGCCCGCCGTGCGCGAAGACTCTCCGCTTCATGCTGTGCAGGATGGTGCCTCAGGAGGAGGAGGAGGAGGAGGAGGAGGAGGAGGAGGAGGATGGAGGAGGAGGAGGGAGGAGGAGGAGGAGGAGGAGGAGGGGGAGGAGGAGGAGGAGGAGGAGGAGGAGGAGGAGGACCGACCACCTTCCCACCGGGCAAGCTGTGGTGAGATGCGCGGCAGGCCCCTGGCCGCCGCCGGCGACGCGACGCTCCACGCGGGTCCAGCAGCGCTGCATGATAACCGTCGTGGCTCCTTGCCGCGCATGCTCGCGCGCTCCTCCGGCTACTCCAGATTTCGTAATAAAAAGGAGGGGGTCTCAACCCTCCCAGACGAGAAGTTTAGACCCCCTCCCCTGGGAGAACCCTCCAAAACATCGTCCCCAGACCCCCCCAGGCCCCCCAAGATAGCCTGGAAGAGACCCCCCCCCGAAATGTGGCAACCTCCCTTTTATTACGAAATCTGGAGTACGCTGTAGGTTGGGTATCTTGCTTTCGGGGACACCCTGCGCCTGCTTCCTTGACGGCGACCGTACTGGAGCCGTTCGTGGGCAGGGTGCTCGTTTAGTGCTTCCACGGCGGTCCCCATTATGGAGACGATCGCGGAGGCCTCCTCCTCCACGAGGGTGCCCGTAGAGGTGATGTTATGATTCTTTTTCGTATTATCATTATGAATGATGTTTTAATATTCCTTCGTCTTCTTATTCCTCTTGTTCTTCGCCACGCGGGTGCTCATAGAGGCCTTTTAGGAAGCTGCTCGCGGAGGTCTTCGTCATCATATTGCTCGCGGAGGCTCTCTTTGGAAGGGTGCTCGTTGAGGTTCTCTTCGGGCTGGTGCTCGCAAAGGCAATTGGTGAGGGGGGTCGCAGAGGTCTTCTTCATGGACGGGTTCGTGGAGGCATTCTCTGGAAGGGTACTCGCGGAAGTCTTCACTGCTCCCGCGTTCGTAGAGGTCTTCTTTAGAGGATGTTCGTGGAGGTCGTCTTCCTCGATCGAGGTGCTCGCAAGGGCCTTTTCAAGGAGGGTGTTCGTGGAGGTGTTCTTGGTGCTGGTGCTCGCGAAAGCCTTCTTCGTAGCATCATAGCACGGTGTTCTTCATGGATGTCCTCGTGGAGGTCTTCTCTGGGAGGATGATCGCGGCATTTGTCTGTCATACGCGTTCGCGGAAGTCTTCCTCGGAAAGCGCTCTTGGAGGTCCTCACGAAAGTGGTCGCGGAGGTGTTCTCAGGGAAGATACCCATGGATGTCTTGTTCGCGCCAGTGCTCTTGGATGTATAGTTTGCGGAGTGTTCGGGGAGGTATTCTTCATCAGCGTGCTCGTGGAAGCCTCCTGCAGGAGACTGTTCGCGGATCTCTTCGTCACGCTGGCGTTCGTGGAGGTCTCCTCTGGGAGGATGCTCACGGAGGTCTTTTTCGTGCTGGTGCCCATCGGGTTATACTTCGTGGCGATCGTGGAGGTCATCGTCGTTACGATTAGCTGCTTCGTGGTCCTCTCGCTGGTGCTGGAGTCCCGTTTCCGCTGGGTGATGACGCTACGTGGGTCATCATCTCTGTAGTCGCCGTGCCTCGTCCACTCCTCAGGCCCGTACTGCATGGCTGGAGTCGCTCTCGGGTCGTCGGTGGCCGTCACACCCGCGCGGCAGGGTGCAGACACAACAAGGTGTGTCGGACCATCTGGCAAGCGTTGCGGCTGCATCGCGCGGTTGCGGCTCCCCGCCAGAGCCTGGCAACGTGCTGGCTCTCCTGGTATCATATATTCCCACCGGTCATCATCATCAGCAGCAGCAGCATCATCATCATCATTATCATCATCATCGTCGTCATCGTCATCCTCATCATCAACATAACCTCGTCATCATCACCGTCATCATTTTCGTCATCATCAACATCATCATCATCATCAACATCAGCAGCACCATCACCTACATGATCATCACCACCAACACCATCGCCATCACCATCACCACCACGATCGTCATCACCATCAACATCGCAATCACCAGTATTACCATGATCATCAACAACATCACCATCAACACCATCAACACAAGCATCATCATCATCATCATCATCATCAGCATCATCATCATCATCATCGTCATCATCATCCGCATCATATGCACCCGCGAAAAAACTCGCCATTGCCATCACCATCACCATCACCACAATCATCATCATCATCATCATCATCATCATCATCATCATCATCATCATCATCACCACCCGCCTCATCCGCCTCATCATCCATCTCCTCAGAGAAGCGTACGGGAGATTCGAAAGCAGACCGCCTCAGCAAATCTTCAGACAGCCCCCCGTACGCCTCCAAGACGGGCCCCAACATGGGAGCTAAGGCAGCCCTGAATAAGCAAACAACTGTCCAAGACGGCACTAACCTGTGCCCGAGCCCGCTCAGCCGCCTATTCGCGAGGCCTCGGTAGAACCGTCTCGCCCAAGACGCCCGCGAGCTAACCCAACGGGCCCTTCATTGGCCCCTGGCAAGCCCCCCAAAGACTATTGCCAAGAGGATCGTAGAAGGCCAATCAGAAGCCCCCACGAAGCCTCAACATGCTCTCAAGAGGCAGGATGGAGAGGGAGGCGACGGAATGACGATGGTGAGGATGAGGCTGAGGATGAGGATGCGGATGATGTTGCTGCAGCTGACGACGACGATGACGACGACGGCGATAATGATTCTGACGATGATGGTGATGATGGTGATGATGATGAGGAGGAGGAGGAGGAGGATGATGATGATGGTGATGATGACGAGGCATCACTTTTCTCGTGCAACACGCTGCTGTCTGCAGAACAGTTTTTTAAGGCAGCGCGCGCGCGCCTCGCGCGCACCTCTCTCATTGTTGAAAAATCACATGTAACACAGCAGCTCACCGCCGATGTCGAGATGACGTTTCACTGGCGTCGCCCGCGAACAACATGCCTCGAGGCCTTGCAGAAAGGGACGTTGAAACAGGATGAGGCGGCAGAGGAGGAAGAAACAAGTGACAAGCGCTGTTCGGGCACAGTTCGGGCTCAGGGAGTTCAAAAATGCCCCGAATCCTGACAAGCGGAATGCCAGCAACACTCCCCAAGGCCTCCAGGAGAGACGTTAGGCTGCCTGACATGAAACTGTCAGCATGACTTGAAACTGAAATGGTTGTCGACTGACCTTGAGATCGACACGCGTCGTCAGGCACCAATGCGCTGTACGAGCGCGAGCATGAATCCGAGGAGGCCAAACGTAGCCGCGCTCCCAAGCTTCTCTCGGACACTGGTCTGTTCCGCGGGGAAATCCCGCTCGTCAGGAGTATCTCCCTGCCCACCCCTCAAACTTTTGACTGTGCTCTTGGCCTTCTTCTCGGTCAACTCCTGGATGCGCCTCTCCCTCTGCATCCTGACCGCGAAATCGTCACCAGACTTGGCACCCTCCGTCACCATCCCAAACATGCCCCAGGCGTTGTTCCAGAACCCGTCCGAGATGGACTCGGGCGAGAAGAAGGCCACCTTCTCCTTCCTCTTCTCCTTCTCGGACACGGGCCGCACCCGGACCGCAAAGTGCTCGCCCGGAGCCTTCGGGGGCGGCAAAGAGGGGGGCGTCAAAGAAGGGGGGGCGCAAATCATGACTGGCGGCATGTGCGCGGCCCAGCGGGGGGGCCAGGGATGTAATGAAATAAGAAGAGGCGCCATGAAATCTGGGGAGGTATCATGGCCGACGCCATGATATCCACCCCCCCCTAGTCATTACCCCCCCTCTTTTCCGCCCCCGAAGCCTGCGGCTCGATCCGCTGCTGGCAGGCCGAGACCCACCTCCCGTCGATGTTGACGGCGCAGGTCTTGCACTCGCCCTTCCTGCGGCGGAGGAGGACGAGGACGAGGAGGAGGAGAAGGAGGAGGAGGAGGAGGTGCAGGAGGAGGAGGAGGTGAAGGAGGTGCAGGAGGAGGAGGAGGAGGAGGCGGAGGACGACGAGGAGAGGGGCAGGGACAGGGGGGACCGGCTCCGGGGGGAAGGGAGGGGAGAACGCCGACCAGGAACGAGGCATCCCCAGATAGATCGGCGAGAGGCTCCCGATCGCGAGTCCGAAGGTTTCTTGGCGAGGTGGGCCATCGGGCCCCTGTCGACGATGAACGGGCCATTGGGGGTCGATGCCTTCCCCCCCTAAAGCGTGTCCCCCCCCCTTCTACTGCCCCTGGCTCCTGCACTTGTACCTGATGAACACGTCCGCCTGCTTGGCCACCTCGCTCAGAGGCTGGCCCACCCGGGCCATTGTCATGACGTTCTGGGGCTGGAAGACCACGGGGGTGTCCCCGAGGAGCTCGTGCCCAGGGATCAGCTTGGGAGGCTCCTTCTCGCCCTCCTCTTCGAGGAAGGGGTCGTCCACAACAGCGATCACTTCCTGCGCTGGCGGTTTCGCCGTCGGCTCAGACCGCTCGCTGCTGATCTTCACGTCCGGAGCCATGCCCGAAGTTAGAAGCAGATCCTCCTCCAGTTGCTTCGGATCTGTTGGCGTCTTGTCCAGCTTGAGGAGCATCTGCTCCAGGTGCCTCTTCCTCTCCTCTCTGGGCAAGCTGCGGTCGGCAACAAACTTCGCACCCTCACCTTGCCTCGACGCCTCCATGCGAGCTTTCTCCTCAAGCACGCCAAGCACCGACGTGACAGCCTCTATGACCTTCAGGGTAGGGCATGGCGACTTTGGCTGATAGGCCTTCGGCCACTCGGCTCCCGTAATCTCGGTGGTGTAGTCCCAAAGCTTCATCATCAGATCCTTCGATGGGGAATGTCAGGGAGACCAGCACGGGGGGGGAAGCATCGAGCTGGAATCGATGATATATCGCCAATACGCCCCCGATAGCGAATCCGAACGACCCTCGGCGTTATTTGCTATCAGGCACGTGTCAACGACGAATGGACAATTGGGGGTCGATGCCGATGCTTTCCCCTTCAGACTGTCCCAACCTAACGTTGCCCCTGATCCTTGTTGAGGACCTTATCTGATTGATCGTTCTCGAAAAGGGAATCCCAGCCACCCCCTGCTCCACCAGCGCCAATGATCTGGCCGCCCTTCTCCAAGGAGTCCTCTCTGCCTTCGCGGGGACCTCCGTTCCACCCCCAATAGACCCCCGACTTGCGGCATCGAGGGTCGTGGAGGACCTGGAAGAGACGCTGCCCGGCCTCCTCCTCTCCGACGAAGCCTCCGGTGACGTACTTCATGAAGATCGGGAACAACTGCCGAAACCATGGGCGCTTCTCTCGGAAGAGCGGGGTCTCGGCGATGCATCCAGGGTAGACGGAGCTGAACGCGATGCCCGTTGAGCGATGGAATCGCTCGTGAAGCATGTTGCAGGTCATCATGCAGGCCAACTTGGTATCCTTGTACGCCTTCGCCCCGTTGAAATTGTAGCCGTCCATCATGGCGATCGGCTTCTTGCAGCCGAGCTCCAGCCCAACGAGTTCTTTGAGGTCGGCGATTGGGTAGACTCCCCCGCCACCAACAGTATTGTCGTTTCCAGTTACGGACCCCAGCATGCAAATGCGAGCGTCCTCGGAGCCTTCCATCATGGGCATGATCTTCGAAGTGAGCAGGAAATGGCTGAAGTAGTTGATCTGATGCTGCTGCTCATGGCCATCCTCCGTCCATTTCGGGTAGTTGAGGGTGGGCTGATAGACGGCAGCGTTGCACGCAAGTCTGTCGATGGGACGATCGCCTCGGAATTTGTCCAACTCTTCGACGAACCGATGCACCGAGGCGAAGCTGGCAAGCTCGAGGTGCATGGGAGTGAAGTGATCCATGTTAAAGCCTTCCTCCTCCGCCACCACTTTCATCTTGTCCATGTTGCGAACGGCGCCGACGACGTGGTATTTCTCTGTTCTCAGCAACGCCTTGGTTGTCGCCAGTCCGAGGCCCGACGAGGTCCCAGTAATGACTACGAGCTTCTTGTCTCCGAACTTAGAGCCCGAGACACTCTGAAGCAGGCCGTCGAAAGATGGGGCCTTGATATTCGACATCCATGCGTAGCCCTGCACCTCCTGTACCAGGAGAAGGAGGCAAACTGACCGCAACATTGCGATTGCTTCCCGGAGCACGAGACGTGAAGGCCGTTCAATCTAAAGTCGGAACCGCAGCCTTCGCGAAACAAGAAATGCTCGAGTAAGCAAACAGCTCTTCAACCGCGGATTGAGCCAATATGGCTGCCAAGAGATGCCGGGGTGGAGAACGGAACTGCTGGCCATAATCCAACTTCTGAGACCTGCGCCAATTCAGAAAAGAACAACGAGCACGGAGCGGGAGCGGGTACTCACATCACCGTAATGCCGGCTACGCTGTCGCGCTGGCACGGCGGCGGGGTCTGCCGCAAGCCTGAAGCATTTCAGGCCCTCGGTTGATCCATGGCTGTCCTGCTGCTGTCCCTTGCGTGCGCTAGGTTGTCCCACGGTTGTCCTGTGTTTGCCCCTTGGATGTCCCGTGGTTGTCCTGTGTGTCCCCTTGGTTGACATGTGGCTTTCCATGGTTGTCCTCTGGCTGTCTTGTGGACGTGCCGTGGTTGCTCTGGAGATGTACTGTGGCTGTCCTGTATTTGTCCGTGGTTGTCCCGCTGTCCCATGGTTGTCGCGTGGCTGTCCCGTGGTTGTCCCGTGGTTGTCCCGTGGTTGTCCCGAGGGCGCCCTGCGGTCGTTGCACCTGTAGATCGGAGGTTGGGGGGTGAGACCGACATGAAAATCGTTTCATGTCATGTGTGACGTGACGTGCGTGCGAGCAAACAGAGGCGAAGCTCCGCGAGTTCATGTTGCGCCACGAGACTGGGCCGACGCTCCTGTTGGCTCCAAGACTGTCCCGATGCTTGTCCCGATGGTTCTCCCGATGCTTGTCCCGATGCTTGTCCTGATGGTTGTCCCGATAATTGTCCCGATGGTTGTCCCGCTAGTTGTCCAGGTGGTTATCGTCCGATAGTTTGGCTAGTTGTGCAGATGGCTTTCCCGATGTTTGTTTGGATAAGTAGAACATGAAATCGCCAGATATATTGATAGCGTAATCGGTCGATAGACAATGAAAAGGTTGAAAAGAAGACCGAACAATGAAAGAACAAGAAAATAAGACCGAACAAATATGAATGGAAACGTTAGAAATAACATCGATCAATACAATGGTTGTCGCGATGGTTGTCCCGTGTGTTGTTCCGGTGGTTGTCCCGCTGGTTGTCCCGGTGGATGCCCTGGTGGTTGTCCAACTGGTCGGCCCCATGGGTGTCCCGAAAATTGTCTTGCTAGTGGTCCCGAGTCGGTAGTGAGGCCTACGGATAGAACGATAGTGAGATCGGTAGGTAGATAATGAGACCGAGGATAAAGATCCCGATGCATGGATAGGTCTCCGATGGTCGTCCTGTGGTTGTGCCTCAATTAATCCGCGGTTGTCTGACTCGTCTGACTGATCTAAGCCGTCCAACTATTGACTTGCGTCGAGCTCTTGTCACTCTGTCACCAGCCACTCTTCTAACTAACACAAATGACACAATTTCAAGACGACGATGAAATAAACAGCACTGAGGGAGAAACGATTAAACAATTGGTTTCCGACTCGCGATGGCAATTCGAGGGAACCGATGAAAAATATGGCTCGAGCACTGTGAACAAACGAGATTGCTCTCAAAGAAGAAACACATTGGCACTATATTGGGATCTTATTGAGAAGCTCTCGAAATCATGGCATCCTGTTGGAGCCCTTGATTCCACTTGGAAACCGGTTGGAACCTTTTATGGTTCCGATGCATCCCCTGACACAGCTCCTGATCAGCTCAGAGTGCAATTCTTATTACCACACGTTACACAAGTGCTCCGATTGCAGATCTCAGTAGCCTCCACGTGCAGTCCCTGGAGCAGTTCCCACGTAGCTCCTGTCACTGCAGTACCTGCTGCAGCTCACTTTGAACTGCAACACTCCGAAAGCATGTTCTACGACAGCACGCGGTACAGCCCAAGCACAGCTCGTACTGTTACAGCTACCACTCGGATCCTGGGCAGAAATGTTCAACTGCACCTCCGTCGTGTCCATCTCCTATTACAGTTCATAATACCTACAAGTCCTGCCCGTCCGCCGTTGTAACTGCATCCCGCTGCTGTTGACTCTCTTCCCGTCTCCACTACCCTGGCCCGTCGGCCGCCCAAGCGCGCGACCAGAGGACGGGAGGGCACGATGAAACAAACAATTCCCAAACCCAGGGCCGGTTTTTCTGATCATCCTCCCCAGCGCCGCCTCGTGAGCACGACTCCCTGTACTTTCTTAAACGTCATCCCGAATTAACCCTCCATCCGATCGAGCTGCATGATAAGACTTGCTCCTTGCTATGGGGAGACATCGCGCGGATTCGTCTTGCCCGCAAGGGCGACAAGAACCGAAAACGTCACCGAATTCCCTGTGGTGGGCTCTCCGTTGTCACCTCGGTCTCACCATCCCAATTCCGACGTGTGCAAATCAATCGTCCCATCTTACCCATCGCACCCGGTCCCTTTGTCTACCAGTCCGGGCCAGGCATGTGGCAGGCACGAAGGCAACCACGCAGCTTGGAGCAGCGGGCACTGATGGGCACTGGCGCACACTGGCAACTACCGCTGTGTACCCCTGTCGGGTGGGAAGCTAAACATAATCATAGCGAGGCCCAGCGCCCAGGTAAGACCTAAGAAGTGCCAACACTGTTTGCAAAATGTCGCGTGACCCAAAGCCTCGCAATACGGGGCATGTGCCTATCCGCCTATCCGCCGAACCTGTCGACGTGTGTGAGGGGGAATCTTAGGGGGTGGTCGTCCAGGGGTGGTCCTGGGAGATGCGTTCTATTCGAAACTCTCCAACTTTCCCTGCGGCCAATGGGGGCGCTCCGAACTTTCCAACCAAAGATGGATCGACGTAGGTCGTAGTCGAGTTGGAGGGGAAATCCCTTCCGTGGATTCCTTTCCCCACCTGAGGGGGGATCCTGGGGGGGGGGGGGCCAGGAGCTTGTCTTTTCCTCCATTGACCTTCGCGACAAGGGGCCTGATCCAGTTTGGAAGCCCGAAATGGACACCGAAAGAATGGGTACAATGCCCAACAACAAATGTTGTCCCAAACCAACAGCGGCCGCTGTTGGGCAGGCGGCCTTCTGTCTCAAATGGACACAGGCCGCGGCGGCGTGGACAGCGAGTCCTGCTCAAAACGGACAGGAACTGCTGTTAGGCATTGTACCCATTCTTTCCGCGCCCATTTCGGGCGTCCAGATCCAGGGAGGGGGGAGCTCGCCCCCCCGATCACATCACGGCGGGGGGCCGCCGTGAGCGCCGCCGAATAGCGTGGGCAAGACACCGGGGCGCTCACGGCCGACCACGGCTGTCATCGCCCAGGCCCTCCACAAACAGGCTCCAAGGTGCACGGGGGTACCTCGCTGCCCTCGCCACGCCGCCCCCCCCCCCGGAGCGACTCGGGCGATGCCGGGGCCCGTTCGGCCTTCTTGGGGGCCACCCTGGCCAGGGCCCTCGTGGGGCCAACCTCGGCGCTCCTGGAACTCTCGCGGGCCGTCTCGGAGCTCCTGGGGGCCAGGCTACAGGAGGCCCCTTGATCGGCTGGATATCATCGGATCCTGCGTGATCGCGAGCTCCTCAACGCATCGGCCGAAATAGCGCGCAAGACGATCCACGAACCTTCAAGATCAGCCCAACCGAGATAGGCCCAACAGGTACCGAGGACGGCCCCAAGAGGGGCCCAACAAAACACGCCAATGTCGCACCGCTGGAAGCCTACCCTTCTATCATGAGTCCAGCACCCCCCAGCGACCCGCTTGAGGCCCCAAGACGCACCCATGTGGGTTACAAGAAAGCCCCCATGCAGCCCCCGAAGAAGCCCCCACAGATTCCCCGGCATGTCCACAGGGCCTCTGGATCACGACCCAGGTGCACTGACGGGACGGACCAGGCACCATGAGATGTCCGTCCTCGCAGAGGCCGCCACTGCCACCCGCCCTGGCGCCCGTCCCCCGTTTGCATCTGGCGCCCGAGCTGATAGTTTCTCAAGGTCGGCGGGAGCAGCCGCAAAGCCTGGACAATGCCTCTGCTGCCGGCCGTGACATCCGCAGACGGGCCCGGGCGATGGAAGCGCTGCGTCTCTCGAGATGCGCCACCGAGGGCAAACCCACCCCATTGAAACAGCCTCCTGCGTCTCGACAATTCTCGACTCCTCTCCCCTCCTCGTCCCCCCCTCCTCCCCTCCCCTCTGCTGCACCCCCCCCGCTCCCGTTCCCTCCCTACGGCACCCGTGGTGCCTCCCGACCCCCAAACCATCCAACGGGCATGAAACGCTGCCCCGCACCAGCTGGTCGGACTCCTGCCAGAGTCTGGCACACATGGGATCCACAAGATGAGGCTGCTGAGCCCGCTGCAAACCTCGGCCTGAGGTGCTCGATCGGCCTCGGACGTGTAATGCGGAGCTACCTTTGTAGGGAGCCCACAAAAAAACGTACGCGCCCAACCACGTACTGAGTACGGCCCTCCAATCCGCGAGACCAGCCTCGTGATACGAACCTTCGCACAATCCGCATGTTCGACACCAACGTGCAGCCATGTGCGTGTGCGTCCTCCTTGCGCGCCCGACTCGGCCCCTCCCTCGCAACGGCTCCGCCCCCGACGCCCCCCCCTGTCAGTCCCCCGTGCAGGCTGCAGCGCGGCCCGCGCGTGCCCCCTCGGCGTGCGGGGGCGCCGAAGAACGCGATGGTGAGGAGCATGACGCACGTGAGCGCGGGAGACACGGGCTCGGCATCCACGAGCGCACGATGAGCTACCTCGGCGGGCCGCCCGTGCCACGGGCCCAGAGCCGGCTCCCCCGGCGGCCGCCCGGGGGGGCGCGGCCGCTGCCCTGGAAGCGAGGGCGAGGCAGAGGAGGGACGGGCGGGGGCGGTCGGGAGGGACGAGACTGGGAGCGAGCGAGAGAGAGAGAGAGCGCGGGGGGGGGTCTGGCTGGGAGGGGAGAGACGGGGAGAGGGCGAGAAGAGAGAGAGAGAGAGAGGGAGGGAGAGGGGGAGGCATGGAGCACATGGGCGACTGGCCCATCGCGGAGGCGCAGCTGCAAGCTCAGTCTGCGCTGAGCGCTGGCTGGGCGACCCCTCCTCGGCCAGGCCCCCACCGACTGCTGCTGGAAGCTGTGCCGCCGAGTGCTGGCCAAGAGGGTGCCCAAGTGCCCACAGCCGGCTACACGCATCATGTTTTCCCCATGGGCGCTTCGACCGGAAGAGGAGCGCTCTCGACCCGCGGATCAAAAAGTGCTTTCCTCATGGAACACAGCCCCCTCATGTGCAACCACGCCCCAGCCGGCACCACGAAGAAGATCGCACTGCCACTGCAGCTTGCCCTTGCACA